CTTGCTTAAGCATACGTGGTACATTCACTAGCACTAACAGAGCAGATACAGAGCAGATGCAGACACGTGATGGTTATGAATAATCAGTTCCATAAAGGAACCTCCGAATCCGGGTAACAGAGAATAAACATGCTGAGCCCCATGATGGAGCCTCCAATACGGGTAACAGAGTGCAGACATATTAAGTTCCATAAAGGAATCTCCGATACCGGGTAACAGCTAACACATATCACATGACGCTAAGGATGCCATGAATATATATCAGAAATTGGATAATCATTCATTGTACAGCATACAGCATTTCAGAAAACAAATCTTATTTCATCATACAGAAAAGAAATAAGGTTGAACATAACGTTACTAAGTCATTACTCACATTACTTATATCAAATACTTATCGGACGTCATAGATTCATACTGTTTCCACTTTCATAAGTAATTTCCTGTTGTCAAGTCACAGAGACTTGATTTATTCATTTCTGAGTCGTCCATCCTGTCCTTATTCAATTTGGTTTTCAATTCGGTAATTCATTACAGTTAGTCCAGGTCATCCAAAGTATACCAGAAATACAAGGCCATTTCGTACATTAACCCCATAGCAGTAAACGAATTTCTGAAGTAATCATTCATGTACTATTCATCAGCCTTAGTTCCCACAAATTCAATCGTACTATGTGTCAATACAGAAGTAGTTATACTGATTACATATACTTCCAAGTAGTCAGAGTTTATAATCAAACCAGTCTATTGTCAACAAATCCCATCAGTTTCGAAGTGCAGTAACACAAAAGCAGTCATTCTCTTAGTCAAACAAGTTCATGGTAGTAACGGTAATATCGGGTAATTAATCACATGTCATACATACAGTATTCTCATATTCTCCAAGCATAAGTTACCAAATTCCATAATCTCATTCGCGTATTTCCAATCGGTTATAGGCATGTGGTAAAAAGCTATTTATAATTACATAGTCTATTGTTGACGGTTCACATTCTTCGTAAGTGTTCAAAATTAATTCAAATTCTTATTTGGTTAGTTCCCTTAGCAACACAGCCCTGTCATTCAATCATAAGCAATTCACAAGCCCCCATAACGTAAACAAATCAGATAATAGTTCTCAATAAAGGTCTCTTCAGATCAAATCAATGAAAGTTCTACCGGGTCATATCAGATGAAAGTTCTACCCAATCATATCAAATAAAAGTTCAAAGCGTGAGTCATCAAACAGAAGTTCTCTCAGGTAAACAAAGGTCTCATCAAACCATAGCTCTATCAAATTAGATCAGGTAAAAGTTCTATCCTCATCATTTCCAAACGAAGCACATTTGGTTCTATAGTTCATACTTCATTCGCTTAGATGCATAGTCAGTAGTTTCACAATTAGTCTAAATTCATCAATTCTCAAAGTCACATCAAAGTCATGTATCATAATAGTTCTAATCAAAGTGTTTCAGGTCATATACAATGTGGCATTCTCCAAATAAGTTTACATGTGGGTGCATAGGCATACAGTTGTTCATATCGAGAGGTAAGCATCACAGTCAATATAGCAATTTCCCAAATGAGTCTTTCATGTAGGCATAAGGTACACAACGGCGTACCACATAAAGTTTCTCAGTGGTACACAATAGCAGAGTATTATGCAGAAGTTTCAAATCGGTCTTACAGTCGCCAAAGTATAGGCTTACTAGTAGAGTCAAACAGTCTTGTCAAATTTTTAACAATCACAGTTCACAGTTTAGAGGTTATCACATGGGGTCTTTACTTAGTCACACAGTCCCTGAGTCATAATCCCAATGGTCAAGTTATCAAAACAAATAACATATCGATCATTCTGAGCAAAGGTATAGTCATATATGTGCATGTTCAGAATCTAATAACATTTCCAATACGGATTCATGAGTTCAATGTACAGATGAACACAAAGCAGTTTCTCCAAATACGATAGTTAAGGCAACAAGCCATAAGCCCACTCAGTCTAGATACAAAGAGCGTGTCAAGTTTGAATCAATCAACATCCCAAGCAAAGGTATAGATATATATAAGTCCAAACATTCTCCATAGCATAGGTAGTTGTTACACAAAAGAGTCTAAAGCGTCACACATATAGTTCACATCAGGTAGAGGTCTCAAAGTGTACAAGCAAGGACATATGTGTACGGATACGAGTCTAGAATCAATGATCATTTACACATTCATTCGCAATTTCATAAGTAAAAGTTCATTCTTCCAAACTAATATAGGTTCTCAATTTCAGAAGTTCCACACACAAACGGTTCACGTATATAATTCGAGTTCATGGGTCTAATTACTCAATGATGTCAGTCAATATATAACGGTTCAGTTCAAGTCATGGTCATACAAATTTCTCAAATCACTTTTCATACACAGACTTTACACATAATTAAGGTAATACATGCGTTAGTTGTTTTAGTACTCCGATCATCTGCTTGAACTAGGATGTAAACCCTTCCTTGCCTGTAGGTGTTGTTCGGACGAGCTCGTGAGCAAGATTTAGCTAAGTGTTTTTTCTGTCCACATCTAAAACAAGCTCCTGATAGGCGGTGACAAATGGCCCAATGTTGTTTCCCACATTCTCTACAGTTAGGTATATCATTGTTCACATTGCTTCCCCGACTTTCATTGTTCAAAGTTATTGCCCTAGATTTTTCATTCACAGGGGTCATTGAATTACTGGTCATTTCCACTTTCTGTTTCTTCTGTTTCATTCTTTCTAAGTTAGTTGATGATGTTGATTTTGATATTTTCAATGCTGCTATGTTTGCCTCAGACATTAATGCTCTATCAAGGACATCTACATACTTTGACAGTTTTAAAACGCCAATTTGGTCATACACATCTAGGTTAAGTCCACCTTCAAATTTTCTAGCTTTTTTGTAGTCAGTATCTTTCATGTGGGGTGCATATTGGGCTAGTTCAATAAATTTTGCTTCATATTCTGCCACAGTCATATCACCTTGTTTTAGTTGTTCAAATTCAGATACTTTCCTATCTCGGATGCATTGGGGAAAATATTTTTCAAAGAAAATTTCTTTAAATCTATCCCATGTCATACCCTCATTATCATTTCGTACTAACATCCACCATCTTCTAGCTTCTTCTTTAAGTGTGAATGTTGCCAACAAAACCTTATGCGCCTCAGTACACGGAAATACCTCAAATATTTTCTCAATTTCTAAAACCCAAGCCTCAGCTTTTAACAGTTCAATACCCCCAAGAAATTCTGGTGGCTTCAGTTTATTGTATTTCTGTATCAGTGTTATCAGATCATAATCGGCGGGTTCAGGTACGTATATTTGCCTTTGTTGTTGTTGTCTCAAGGATTCGGTTAAGGCTTCAACCACTATTTCTAGCCTGTTAATTCTAGCATCAGAAGATTTGGATTCATCTACATTCCTTGTCCTTTCCATTGATCTATACATAAATAGGGTAACCATTAACTTAGGGAAAGTCCTCATTGGTTTCATTCTTTTTTTTTTCATATCAGACGTGTTTATGCTTTCATTTCGATTCAGATACGGTCACATGATCCTTTACTTTCACACGTTCATGTTCACATAGATTCCACATTCGGTATTGAAATTAACATTACATGTTATTTCACTTAACTTCTTTGATCATGCTCAAAGGTTTCATTTCCATTCATTTTTAATAAGGATGTGTTCATAATAGTTCGCATACTTACACATGATAATGCAATGTCCCTATTTCATTTCTAGGGCATCCTATAGCTCATATGGACACGTGTGTGTGGTATAACTTGTGCTCTGATACCACTCTGTCATGACCCAAACCCGCCTCTATAGGTTTAGCATCGTAACTAGTCAGTAATCCTTGGATTACCGAAAGCCTCAGAACTGATTAGCAAAGTTGAGGGGCTAGCGGAAGCAAATACATAATTAAAACTGTCCAATGAGCTGTGCTGACTTATATGAAACGGAATATGTAAAACTTTATATACGCATTCAATAGTCATTCATACATTATACCCATACACATAGCATCTTAAGTACAGCCAACAAGATCAAATCAAGTCTTATATATACAGAACCAACAGAACTTAAACACAGGGCACTTTAGGGACCTCCACGGGAGGCACAATGGTTGGCTGACAACAGAACACAGATCCAGACAAAAGCCTTCAGGCTCAATCTCTAGACTGCCCACCTATACATATATAAAGTTTTACATATTCCGTTTCATATAAGTCAGCACAGCTCATTGGACAGTTTTAATTATGTATTTGCTTCCGCTAGCCCCTCAACTTTGCTAATCAGTTCTGAGGCCTTCGGTAATCCAAGGATTACTGACCAGTTACGATGCTAAACCTATAGGGGCGGGTTTGGGTCATGACATAAAGACACTCCTTCAGTTAAACGCTAAAAACTTCAAAGGCTCACATCTAGTTTCGAAAACCTTTCAATGAAAAATAGTAAGACTTTTGATGAATTTTATGAGAAGTTGGGTGACATTGTAAATTTCAGCTTCAATTTAGGTGAAAAAAATACCGAAATCCAAGGTAGTGGGAAAAATTTTGAAATCCTTGCTCGATCGGTTCCAACCAAAAGTTACGACTATTAAGGAGGCTCAAAATGTTGACAATCTCAAGCTGGATCATTTGGTTAGAAATCTCTAAATTTATGAGGCACATAGAAATTTTAAAAAGAAACAAAAAGATGATATTCTTTTTAGTAGTGCTCATACAGTTGGAAAGGATTCTGATGAGGATTTTCCAAGATTACGGATGCTTTAATAAAGCAATTTAAAAAGTCTTTTCTGAAAAAGAATCCTAATCTTTTGAAATCAACTCATAAATCCAAAGGCAAAGATAAATTCAAAATTAATTCTATAACCCAGAAGAAGAAAGGAATAATACAAGGGAACTCTGAAAGAGTCCAATGCTATGAATGCTAAGGATTTGGCCACTTTGCTCAAGAATGCCCTACTCGTTTGAGGAAGAAGAAAGCCTTCGCTATCACTTAGGATGATGAATCAGAGTCTGATAAAGATGAAAGTAACAACGAAGCACAAGGCGAAGAGAGGCATAAACAATCCCTTTCTTTCATGGCGGCTTCTGAAACTGAAGGACGAACAGAGTATCCAAAGAAGCCGGTTGAGAATGACACTGATGATGAATCCTTAGAGAGTGATGATGAAGAGTTTTAGCAAGCTTATGAAAAGTTGTATAAGGAATCTCTTAACTTATCCAAATTGAATGACAAACTCACTATGAAACTCCAAGCATGTGAAAGTGAGAATGTCAAACTAAATGAGGAGATTTCCGAGGCTATGAATGATGCTGTCAAGATATCTAATGATCGACAAGCTCTCTGTGCAAAACTCTTGACTTGTGAGACAAAGAGGAATGAGCTACAGCAAATCTATGCAACATATGAAGAAAAGATTGAATCTCTTGAGATGTCCCAAGTTGTTTTGGAAGAACTAATGATCAAGAAAGAGGCAGAGCTCAAGTATGCTATGGCTACCACTGGTCTTTGGAACAAAGGATCAAAGACTTTGGACAATATCATTGGGTCTCAACAAATGTGTTATGACAAGAGTGGCATTGGCTTTGGTGATAATAAAGAGCAAAAAAGAGTGCATCCACACCTTATGATACAAGAACTCAAGGGCAGGGAGAGCAAAAGATTCAACGAGAGAAAAGACTTCTCAATCTTCCTAGAGTTGGTAAGGTCAAAGAAAAGAAGGTACACCCTGTGTTTATTTGTCATCATTGTGGTATGTATGGTCATATTTGCCCTTATTGTTATGAGTTGCATAGGAGAATGTCCCATAGAGATGGAAGAAATTCCAACATCTCGTGGGGTAGGAGACACTTCATTGGTGGTAATGAGATAAAGGGTCATATTAGACCTCGTTGTTTTGATTTTCTTGAGACCAAACATGAACAAATGTTGTGTTTGCCTAGACCTAGGAACAAAAAGTTGGAAACCAAGTCGAGACAGATTCCTATTGAAGGGGAAGGGAACCATAACGTCAAGGCACCACCCAAGAACCACAGTTCTCACAACTTTGTTCATACTAAATCGGTTTGGGTGAGAAAACTTGACTTGTGTTAATTTGTTTATTCGTTTTAGTTTTTAAGTTTCTATGTGGTTTTTATTTTTGGGTCATTTAATGTCTGATTGTTTATTTTTTTATCTTGCGTTGTTTAAAAAAAAAAAAAAAAAATTTTCTTAGTATGGTTTTGCAAGCTTGAAATTTTTGAGATGTTCTTGTTGCATATTGGATTTGATCAGAATATCCATTGCATGTTAATATGTGTGTGCTTTCTTTGGTCATTACTTATTTCTGAGTGTGTGATCTTTGATTAGTATGTCTCATTCTGTACATACTTTTGGATTAGCAAATATCGGAGTTTTAAGCCTTAGTGATCATTTTTCACTATGGACTTCTAGCATTGTATCTTTTGCTTTTCTAGAGGAACTAACCTATCAGTGGCAGAGCTAGGAATTTAATATAGCGGGGGCTCCTATTAATGACAATCTCAAAATTTTTCTTCCCCAATCAATAACAATAACATAATAATAATTTTTCGAGCTGATGTTAAACATTAAAAATTAATATTCATTACAAATAGTTTTTAATTTTAAATTTTTACAATTGATCCTGACGAGTTTTCATCTTTTGAAATCTTTCCATAATAGTATCATTGTCAATGCCATAAAAAATATCTCTCTCAATGTAGACAACTAAGCTATCATTCATCCATTCATTACCTATTCGGTTCCGCAACCGATTCTTCACAATATTCATAGCTGAAAATACCCTCTCAACAGTAGCAGTTGCAACAAGTAAGATTAATGCTAAAGTCAAGAGCAAATACACCAATGGATATACTTTGTCTCTTCCACTCTCTGCCATTTTCTTAGCAAGATCGGAAATTCCATTTAATATTGAGAACTCACTACCGCATAGGATGTCGATAACAAGTTGATCATTAAGTACCATGAGCTCCACTGAAGAAAATTCTTTGGCATAAAATTCAGCAAGATGAATTAACTTTCTCTTGTCAAAACTAGAGAAAGAGTTAGATTGATTCAAACATGCTATACAAATTAACAACTCAGTGTTCGACTCAGTGAAACAAGCATTTAGCTCTTGAGTTTGCATATCCAAAACAGTGTAGAATAACTCAGCGCGATAGTGATGTAAGTTTGTAATTTCTTGAGCATTGCGCCTTTTTCTCCCTCGAGCTACAAACATATCTTCTATTTGGGGAACATCAATTTCATGTTTTTCACAAAAAGACAAAATATCATCAAGTCTACCCACTCTCCCTCATCTTTTGGAACCGTACTTTAGAAATTTGAACTAAATTCATAGCATTAACAATATCTTGATCTTTCCTTTGTAGTGCTTGTAATAACTCACTTGTAATAGCCAATATCGTTTTCATCAAATGAAGGTTGAATACAAACTCAAATGATTGAATTGAGTCCAACAATACATTTGCTTCTACTCGTTGTTCTGAATTTGAACCATCCTCCAAAAATCATTTCAAGCACATCAATCACTATTCAAAACATACTAGCCAAGCTGACTAAAGTACCATAGTGTGAACCCCAACGTATATCACTAGCATGTTTAAGATTAGTTTCTTGATTTATGCCTTGCCTACTAGATAGCTCTCTAGTATTAAGTGCCTCAGTAACTTTTGCAACTTGTTTCTCCCTAACAATATCTCGACGTTTACGTGATGGTCCAACAACATTCACCACATTAGAAACCAAAGTGAAAAGTAAAATAATTTGATTATGATTCTTTGCCACGGTTAAAAGTGCCAAATCTAATTGATGAGCAAAACAATTAACATAATATGCATAAGGATTCTCTTTCAGTATAAGCGTTTTGAGACTATTGAACTCACCTTGCATATTACTAGCCCCATCATATCCTTGACCCCGCAATCTAGAAGTACTCATTCTAAGTCTAGAGAATAAATTTTCCACAGCTTGTTTGAGTGAGAGAGTATTCGTATTAGCAACATGCTCAATACCCAAAAAGCGCTCAATCACTTGGCCCATTTTGTCAACATATCGTATTACAACTGTCATTTTCTTCTTGATTGATATGTCATGGGCTTCATCAATCAAAATAGAAAAAAGTGCATCACTAAGATCTCTAATAATCACATTGATAGTTTCAAATGCGGCCACATTTGCAATGTCTTTTTGAATATCAGGAGATGTCAACTTGAGATTTTGTGGAGCATTGCTCAATGCAACTACTTTGACATCTTCATTATGATCAGCAAGAAACTTTAGAAGTTCAAGAAAATTTCCTTGGTTACTTGAATTTTCAGATTCATCATGCCAACGAAACGCAAGTCCTTGTCTTAGAAGAAATTTGACACAATCGACCAATGAATTCAAACGAGTTCGATACTCAATTCGAGTTTGATCAGATTGTTTGGAAAAAATAGTTTGAATATGCTGGTTTTACTTTAACAAGTCTTGACATTTACTCAAAGCTTGACTATGAACACTATTAGGACCTCCAACATGAGTATGAATTTTTTCTTTTTTCTTCCAATTTGAGAAACCCTCACCAACAAAAGAATCACCACCAGCTTGATCTCCAATATCAGGTTTGAAAAGATAACAACATAAACAAAATGCTGCATCTTTTGCTATGCTATACTCCAACCAATTAGGAAATTCACTAAACCAAGCTTGATTAAATCGCTGAAGTTTTGGTCCAAATGATTTTTGTGGAAAATTATGATCACGAGGTTCACAAGGACCATTTTGTAGATATGCCCTACGAATTCGGTCTCAATGATTAGCATTATAGTCCATAATCCGAGGTCGTAGTCCTAGATCTACAGGAAGATTTACTAAGTTGATTTCTATGCGACTTTGTTTTGCGGAAGAATAATTATCATCTTCTTCTTGAGGTAGAGATGATTCCAACTTTGATTTTTTTTTGAAATATTTCTCCATGATTGTTTGAAAAAACCAAAAATCAAAATAAAAATTCATAATCAAAATCACAAACCCCCACAAATCAAAATCTCCAATGTTAATGCAAATCAAAAAAATTAAATTAGCACAAATCACAACAAATCAAAAAATTTAATTTTAGCACAAATTATAACAAATAAAAATCCCTAATTCAAATATTAATCACTGAAAATTAATATTTTTAATTTTAGCACAAATCAAATCCCTAATTTTAGCATAAACAACAACAAACCAAAATCCCTAATTTTAATATAAATCACCACCAATTAAGATTCATAATTTTAGCATATCAAAATCTCTTATTTTAACATAAATAATAACGAATCAAAAAATTTTACAAATCATAACTTAACAAATAACTATAAATTAATGCTTATAATTTTTATCTAAAAGTAAAAATAAGTAAATAAAGTTACCTGTAAACAATGAAAAGAAGATACCAATGTTGTAGTGTGGTCCCAAATTTGTGTTGTGTGATCCTAATTTGGTGAATCACTAGTTGGCAAATAACAAAGCAACAAAGGGAGACAAAGAAGACAAAGAAAATACGAAGATACTTAACAAGTATTATGAATAAATAAAAAAATAAAGAATTTTATACACTTTTAGGATTTTAGAGTTTTAGCCTTACTGTAATTGGAGTTGTGTGTACCTATCCAAAAAAAAGATTATTTGTCAATATTTGATTAGGATTGGGATTCCAAAAAAAAACAAAAAACAAACCTCGGTGCGCATGTGTTAGTAGGTTTGACATATTTGGAAGGGCTATGTATTAGTATTAGGAGGGGCATTACTGCACAGTGTGAAAGCAAACCCACTAAAAAAAAAAAATTCAAAATTCAAGGGGGGCAACATGACCCCCCTGAGCCCCAAGTCCCTCCGCCACTATGACCTATACTAGCATATCATGGGTGATGTTGAATCTCTTAACCACCTTCCATGTTTTTGCATCTCCACGGTTTTTTCCTCAATTCTTTGCAGTTAAGGCATGAGGAAAAGGCTACCGCAGAGTCACCAACCAGGCTATCCTTATTGTCTCATGCTTCTCTGGTTCGGTTTCTATACTCTTGAGCGTGTCAGCTGCCAATGAGTGTGCAAAAGAAAGAAAAAAAATGTGCAATAGAAAGAAAAGAAAAAAAGTGCAAAAGAAAGAAAGAAAAAAAGTTTTATTGATGGAGAGGGAGCCTCCGCTTTTACTCACCTAATACCCCTTGATTCCTAATAGTTTAACTTTCCTTAGTTGTGTTAAGATTCTCTTGCCGGAGGTCCAGCTATCAGATCACTATTAAGATTTGAATCTAGTGTTTGTCGAACTCCAAGAGTCACACACACACGCTTTTATCATGGGATCTATTCTTTTCACATAATGCATCACTTTGTTTTTATGAGGAATCTTCTACAGATTGTGCACATTGTGTTTTCAAGTAATTGTGTTTTTTGGATAATCTTGTGTGTTTTTAAGATACAAATTTGAAATTCGTTGCTTGCTTCACCATATTTTGTTTTTGTCTTTTTCTTCTTGTTCATTGTTTTCAGCGTTTGTGATTGCTTTTAGTGACGGGGGAGTTTGGTTCATCTTGGATTGGTTTGGTAAGGGAGTTTGGCATTAGTTGGTTTATGTGTTGCTATCCACTACTTGTTTATTACTTACTTCTTGCAGGTTATTAATTTTCCATCATCTTGTCTCTGCTTGTGTGGTTTTTGATCTTGCTTTCGTTGTTTGAGCTTCCTTTGTCAATTCGTGACAAAAAGGGAGAGAAATGTTGTCGGGTGCATGTGTCTTAGGATTTCATGTATTCATTCCATGTGTCGGGTGCATGTGTCTTAGTTTTCACGTTTTCATGCTACATGTTCTTAAAATCTCTAATTTATATCTATTCATATTTCCATCTCATGCTTCAAAAAAATCTTGTCATATGTCTATTGCTTTTTCATATACTCTTGTGGCACTAATAGTTGTTTTGGAGATCATGGCACTAATAGCTGTTTTGCAAATCATGACCTTAAGAAAAAAGTTTCTTTTTGTTGGCTGTAATGGGTTGGGATGATTAGGATTTTATTTGTTAGGTGTGTTTTGTCACGTCATTGCCAAAGGGAGAGATTGTTCAGCTTTTATTCTTGGCAATCCCGTTTGACAAAACTCTTTTCAATTGTAATTGTATTCGATCTTTTATTTCAGTGAGGCTATGAGTTTAAAATGTGAATCCAACCCGAATTGCGCCTTGCAGAATGTTTCGAAAGTTTATTCTTTCATGTTTGCCACTTTGCTGACTATGTCGGGATCGAGCAAAAATGCAGTCGAAGTTGCTTGTCCGCTCGAGCGACCATTTGTGCGCTCGAGTGGAGAATCTTTGGTTCCAGAAGTTTGATCTCCTGCAAAAGTACTGGGAGTTATTTTTTCTACTTGCGCGGCATTTCCTGCGCTCGAGCGTCAATCCGCTCGAGCGGCTATTATTGCGCTCTAGCAGAGATCGCAAATCTGTTTTCTACAAATAAGTGTTTTAGTCCAATTTTAGGGTACGACTTCCAAATCTTCTTCTTGGATATTAGGGTTTATATCTGGAGCTTGCTTGCAAGTTTCGTTGATGTTTGTTTGAGTTTAAATCTAGTTTGAAAAGTATTCATCAAAAGATTGTTTATTTCGTTCAATACAAAAGACAGTGTTGTTCTTCGGTGGATTTTGTAGAATTTGGACCTGAAGCTTTGGTGGATTCTAGAGTGGTTCATCATCGTGGATTCAACATCGGCGTTGTGGATTCAACGTTGGGTAAGATGATTCTGAGGTAAAGACTGTGGTGGAAGAGGCATATAGAGGTCGGTTCAATTCGGGTGTGGATTCGCTAGGTAATTGAGAGTGCACTTGTGTAATTCCTTTTGTCTTCTTAGTGGATTGTTTTGTGGCTTTTGTCCGTGGTTTTTTTTTATCACAATTGGAGGCACTCAAATTGTAGTTTTTTCACGTTAAAATCGTTGTGTCGATTTGTCTTGATTGTTTGATTGGAATTGTTATTTACTGCTTAAAATTAATACAAAATCACAAATCAATATCTAGGGTATTTCTAGATTTTTCAGATTTTTTAACAATCAAATTCTGTAGGGGCGAGTTCGATGTGAGTAGTGATTAGAGAGGCAATTGTCCAACAATAGTGGAATGGCTAGAAAATGAGTAGCTAGGTGAGGGTGAAGTAGCTCAAGAAAAAATGGATAACAGTGCACAAATGGGCAGTATCTCTGCCCAAATCCCCAATAATCCTCTCCTGGACCTTGAGAAATTGGGTCCTATTTATAGGCTTTTCCTTGGTAGCAAGAGGCAAGTGGCCAAATAGAGAGAAGATACGTGTCCCTATGGATCACGTGAAATATTCTGCCTTGAGCCACCAGGCTAAAGGTGCCACATGTCCCTCGCATGTACTATGTACTATCTGTTTGCCTCCACACCTACCTTTTTAAGCCTTAGCAAGTATAGTTGCGGCGGGAGTGTTTAGCGCTACAACTACTTTTTGAGCCTCAGCAAATGCACTTGCGGTGGTAGTGTTTGCCACTGCACTTACCTTCTTAGCTCGAACCTCAACAAGTGCAATTGCAGCAGTAAACCTTGCTGCTACACTTGCTCTCTTAGTTCTATTTAGCCAGTACATGCATTCTCAGGACTTCATTAACCTGCTATAAGCTATGTTCGTGTTCACCTCAGTGAAACCTCCACCCTTAGCCACCTAACCACAAACTCCCTAACTTCCTAGGGCGAAAGCCACAACCAAGCCTGTTATAAGCCATGATGTACCTTAGTACCAAGCCCAAGGAGACTTCCTTAGTCCTGCCTGTGCGACTAAAGCAGGTCCATGACCTGAGTAATGGGAAGGGAGTCCCTTACGCTCAAGCTGCCTTGCTTTCACCTTTGCGGGACCGCAGTATACTTGTATTTCTGGGCCTGCTATCGGTTCCGACCAGTAAGATTTGGAGCCTGTTATTAGCACCAAGCTAGTCTCTACTTGTGGAAAGGAAGCTCCTCCCAAAGGCTGCTATTACCTTGGTGGGATGTTTCCTCCGCAAGTTCGTTGCGGCGGCTATAGTTGCTGCGGCAATCATTTCCCGAAGTAAGTTCAGATGGTAGTCCCGACAATATTAGAAATGGTGTCGCTGACAAAATGTCTTCGTAAATTGGTCGTTGCAAGTATTGCCTTTGCAACTTAGGTGCTTCAGTTTTTCTCCTTTCCTCAAATAACTTCAAATGGCGGCAGAACCGACAATATTGGGAATGGCGGCGCTGAGGCAAAGTGTCTCAGCAACTTAACTGCTGCAAGTGTTGCCTCTGCAACTTCACTTAGACACTTTCCTTCGTGGAGTCTGTTTGGACCTTTGGCGGGTCGGACTTGCTTTAGCCCACTGTTGGCCCACTTTTCTTGTGCTTTAACTCATGCTCCTTTAGACATTCTTGGTCGCCCAAAAGGAGCAACCTCAGCACTTAAACCCATACTTAATACTTAATTGGGGCCTTAATTTCCAACTCTCTACAACTTCCAAACCAAATTAAAATTTCGATTTTCAATTTTCGAATAAAACACATTCGCTAGACATTGTATTTCCGAACCAACCAGCAATTATATTTTTGGACATTGTCAACCTATTTCAAAAAATGATTGAAATTTGTAAAAAAATTGTAAAGCTTTACACAAACTTATGAAAAGCTACGAAAATGAGTAAAATAATTTGATTAAATTAATATATTTATTGAATTAAAAACAAACCTAGAATGATATTCAATGGACACTACAAGAAAATACACAATTGGCGACCACTTTTGCCGACTAAAAATATTTTGGTTGCCAAAAGTTGTGGAATTGGCGACTAAAAATTATGCTAGTCGGTAAAAGTACAATATTTAGCTACTAAATTTTTTTAGTCGGGGTATATTAATTTTTGGCGACTAAAAAAAATTAGTCGCTAAAAATCTCACAATTGGCGACTAAAAAACAATTAGTCGCTAAATTTGCCACAATTGGCGACTAAAAAAATATTTTCGTTGCTATATATATAGTTTTGGCAACTAAAATAATTTAGTTGCTGAAAGAAAAATAAAAATTTATTTTTTATCTTTCGCGACCAAAAGTTTGGTCGGCAAAACTTTAATTTCAATGACTAAAAATTATTTTGGTCGCGGTATATATAGTTTTGGCAACTAAAATATTTTAGTCGCTGAAAGAAAAATAAAAAATTATTCTTTATCTTTCACGACCAAAAGTTTGGTCGGCAAAACCTTAATTTCAGCGACTAAAAATTATTTTCGTCGCGGTATATATAGTTTTGGCAACTAAAATATTTTCGTCGCTAAAAGAAAAATAAAAATTTTTTTTTATCTTTCGCGACCAAAAGTTTGGTCGGCAAAACTTTAATTTCAGTGACTAAAAATTATTTTGGTCGCGGTATATATAGTTTTGGCAACTAAAATATTTTAGTCGCTAAAAGAAAAAAAAATTATTTTTTCTCTTTTGCGACCAAAAGTTTGGTCGGCAAAACCTTAATTTCAGCGACTAAAAATTAGTTTGGTCGGGGTATATATAGTTTTGGCAACTAAAATATTTTAGTCGCTGAAAGAAAAATAAAAAATTATTTTTTATCTTTTGCCACCAAAAGTTTGGTCAGCAAAACCTTAATTTCAGCGACTAAAAATTATTTTGGTCGCGGTATATATAGTTTTGGCAACTAAAATATTGTAGTTGCTGAAAGAAAAATAAAAAATTATTTTTTATCTTTCGCGACCAAAAATTTGGTCGGCAAAACCTTAATTTCAGCGACGAAAAATTATTTTGGTCGCGATATATATAGTTTTGGCAACTAAAATGTTTTCGTCGCTGAAAGAAAAATAAAAAATTATTTTTTATCTTTCGCGACCAAAAGTTTGGCCGGCAAAACTTTAATTTCAATGACTAAAAATTATTTTGGTCGCGGTATATATAGTTTTGGCAACTAAAATATTTTAGTCGCTGAAAGAAAAAAAAAAATATTTTTTCTCTTTCGCGACCAAAAGTTTGGTCGGCAAAACCTTAATTTCAGCGACTAAAAATTATTTTGGTCGCGGTATATATAGTTTTGGCAACTAAAATATTTTCGTCGCTAAAAGAAAAATAAAAAATTATTTTTTATCTTTCGCGACCAAATGTTTGGTCGGCAAAACTTTAATTTCAGCGACTAAAAATTATTTTGGTCGCGGTATATATAGTTTTGGCAACTAAAATATTTTCGTCGCTGAAAGAAAAATAAAAATTTACTTTCACTCATCACTCTTTCTCTCTCTTTCTATCTATCTGTCTCTCTTTTTCTCTCTGTGTCTCTATCTCTGTCTCTCTTCTCTTTCTCTCTCTCACTCATCACTCTTCTCTATCTCTTTCTCTGTGTCTCTCGCTCATCTCTCTTTTCTCTATCTCTCTCATCTCTCGTTTCTCTTTGTCTCTCTTCTCTTTATCTCTCTCGCTCATCTCTCCCTGTATCTCTCTCGTTTATCTTTTTCACTCTTTTTTTTTCTCTCTCTCTCTCTCTGTCTGTCTCTTTTCACCTATTTTTTTTATCTTCCTCTCTCTATTCTCTTTCTCTCTCTTACTCATCACTTTTCTCTCTCTGTCTGTTTGTCTATCTGTCTATCTGTCTGTCTCTCTCTCTCTGTGCTCTCACTCATTTATCTCTTCTCTCATTTCTCTATCTCTCTCTGTCTCTTTCGTTCATCTATGTTGTCTCTATCTCTCTTACTCATCTCTCTTCTCTCGCTCTCTCTCATCTCTCTTTTCTCTCTGTCTCTATTGTTCATCTCTCTCTTATTTCCATCTCTCTCTCTCTCTGTCTCTCTTGTTCATCTCTCTTCTCTCTATGTCTCTCTCGCTCATCTCTCTTATCTCTATCTCTCTCTCTGTCTATCTTGTTCATCTCTCTTCTCTCTCTGTCTCTTTTTCTGGCTCTCACTCCCTATCTCTCTCTCTCTTTGTCTCTCTCTCTCTCTCTCTCTCTCTCTCTCTTTGTCTCTCTTCTTTTTCTCTCTCTCACTCATCACTCTTCTCTATCTGTCTGTCTTTGTCTCTTTTTCTCTTTGTCTTTCGCTCATCTCTCTTCGCTCTATCTCTCTCATTTTTTTTCTTTCTCTATCTCTCTTATTCATCTATTTTCTCTCTATCTCACTCTCTGTCTTTCCTACTCATCTTTCTTCTCTTTTTACCTCTTTCTTTTTCTATGTATTTCTCTCGATCATCTCTTTTCGCTCTCTTTCTCTCTCTTTGTTTATCTCTTATTCATCTCTTGTTTCTCTCTGTCTCTTTCTCTTTCCTACTCTGTCTCTGCCTCTGTCTTTGTCTCTGTCTCTCTCTTTCTCTCTCTCTTCTCTCTCTGTCTCTTTCGTTCATCTCTCTTCTCTCTATCTATCTTGTTCATCTTTATTCTTGAGCTCTCTCACATCTCTGTCTCATCTCTCTTCTCTCTTTGTCTCTCTCGTTCATCTCTTTTCTCTCTATCTCTCTCTCTGTCTCTCTCGCTCATATCTCCTCTCTATCTCTCTCTTTGTTTCTCTCGTTCATCTCTCAATTTCTCTCATTCATCTCCCATCTCTCTCTGTCTCTTTTTCTGTCTCTTTCTCTCTTTGCCTATTTCTCTCTCTCTCTCTTCTCTCTCTATCTCTTTTTTTGTCTCTCACTCTCTATCTCTTTTTCTCTTTGTCTCTCTCTTTCTCTCTCTCTATCTCTCTTCTCTCTTTTTTTTATCTTCCTCTCTCTATTCTCTTTCTCTCTCTTACTCATCACTTTTCTCTCTCTCTCTGTTTGCCTATCTGTCTATCTGTCTGTCTCTCTCTCTATGTCTCTCACTCATTTATCTGTTCTCTCATTTCTCTATCTCTCTCTGTCTCTTTCGTTCATCTCTGTTGTCTCTATCTCTCTTGCTCATCTCTCTTCTCTCGCTCTCTCTCATCTCTCTTTTCTCTCTGTCTCTATTGTTCATCTCTCTTATTTCTATCTCTCTCTGTCTCTCTCGTTCATCTCCCTTCTCTCTATGTCTCTCTCGCTCATCTCTCTTATCTCTATCTCTCTCTCTGTCTATCTCGTTCATCTCTCTTCTCTCTCTGTCTCTTTTTCTGACTCTCACTCTCTATCTCTTTCTCTCTTTGTCTCTTTCTCTCTCTTCTTTTTCTCTCTCTCACTCATCACTCTTCTTTATTTGTCTGTCTTTGTCTTTGCCTTTGTCTCTTTTTCTCTTTGTCTTTCGCTCATCTCTCTTCGCTCTATCTCTCTCATCTTTTTTCTTTCTCTATCTCTCTCATTCATCTATCTTCTCTTTATCTCACTCTCTGTCTTTCCTACTCATCTTTCTTCTCTCTTTACCTCTTTCTTTTTCTATGTCTTTCTCTCGATCATCTCTTTTCTCTCTCTTTGTTTATCTCTTATTCATCTCTTGTTTTTCTCTGTCTCTTTCTCTTTCCTACTCTGTCTCTGCCTCTGTCTTTGTCTTTGTCTCTCTCTTTCTCTCTCTCTCTATCTCTCTTCTCTCTCTGTCTCTTTCGTTCATCTCTCTTCTCTCTATCTATCTTGTTCATCTCTATTCTTGAGCTCTCTCGTGTCTCTCTCTCATCTCTCTTCTCTCTTTGTCTCTCTCATTCATCTCTTTT